CACGGCCGCCTCACGCGCCCGCCGGCTCCTCCGCGCCGCACTGCGCCTGCGCGCCGCGGGGGGCGCTGGGAAATGTAGTCCCGCCGCCACGCCCGGGGGAGCGCTGTGTCCGAAACGAAGGGCTCGGCCCCGAGTCTTTCGTGCTTCCGAAAACAACGCCGGCACAGGGGAGCCCGCACTCCCGCAGCTCCCGTGCTGCTGGATCAGGAGGCTGACAGTAAAACAAGCGGAGATTTAGGCTTCTTCCTGCAGTCCGCACCCAGCCTGGCCAACCCAGGTGCCAAAGCTGGCAAGCAGGAAAGGAAAACACCCACAAAGAACGGACTCGCTTTCAGCAGTTCTTCCACCACGGCTTTAGCCTTCCCATCATACGATCACAGTAGCAACACACACTCTTCTTCCCTCTGTAAAGCACAAGGAAAGAAAGGTTTTCCTAAACTTTTCAGTAGATACCCAAGGTACGAACAGCACGCAATTTTGAGGAACGTGTTCTGCTACAGCATTACAAAAAAAGCCAAGAGCTCTGGACCACACTGCAAATCCTTTCTATGCTGACTTCACTGGCACAAATGAAAAATAAAGAACGAATCATGGGAACATTCAGGCATTTCTGAGCAACTACAAACTCCTTGACTACATCTGTACTTGAGCATGGTAACTAAGAACAACTGTTAAAGAACCACCCAAACCCTCATGTGGGCCTTTTTGTATTGTATACTAAAATCGACTACAAAATTCACAGGCACTTCCTGAACATAAGCAAAGGCTGGGAAGAAGCTGCAGAGCCAACAAACAGGTAACCTGCAGAGCTGCCCACACACCTTGTTAACACAACTGAGCAGTTCCTTCAGGCAGCAAAAGCGAAAACCATCTGCAAGGCACTGATCAAGCACAGCAAAAGCTCCTGTGACAGCCTGAGCCACGGCTGCTGTGCTTACACAAGTCATACGCCCATCTTCCCCTCTGTCCTTCAGCAAGACGCTCCAGAAATAACTGGTGTCTTGTTCTTCATTACTGGCTCCTTACGACATTACGGTCCATACCGCAAGGGCACTTGAGCAGTTTGGTAAAAAGCTTAGAAAAAAGCAAGGGAAGAAATACAGAAGTGCCACCCTCCCATTCAGTTGATAGATACACGGTCTTCAACCCTGGAAGCGATGGAATCATCCCTTTCCCCCTCCTTGCTATTCGCAATGCCACACATACCAAGTGACACGGCTCTCCGTTGACTTAGCTTGAAAGAGTAATGAATTCAGCCAAGCATGCTGAGATTGAACCACGATGCTAAGGCATCTGAGCACTTCAGGCCAGAGCACACCTTACAGCTTTTTCCTCCCACAGCAATTTAATGTCCTGTAAGTTACCTTGGTCAGTTAACTGAAATAACAGACAGATGCTCAAGTGAAGAATTCAATGTATATTTATTATTCACAGTTAATTACTATCTACCAAATGCTGCTGCAGAGTTAAAGGATTAAGTACATAGGCCTTTTTTATTTAAACACTGATTTTTTTTTTTTTTAATATATATACACACACAAGACATATGTCTGCAAGGCTGCATGATATACACCAATTCCAAAATAAGGAAACAATCAAATGGTCCAGGTGTAGAATGCCATAGATTCCTTTTCCAATCACTTTACAAAGAAGGAAGAAAGTGAGTGACAGCTAGCAAGGATAGGGGGAGAAAGTAATACTCTACAGGATAGCTCTCTCTTTCACCTGCTGGAAAATTAAAGTGTAAGGCAGAGTCCATCTCAGGAATAAAACATTTGTAACACTTAGTACAAAAAAAGGCACCCTCCAACAAAAGATTGCCTGTACTTAGGCAGGGTGGGAGGAGATCTCCGCTGCAGTTTTTGGATTCGTTGGTGGGGTGAAGGGATCCAGCCAAATGGCCATCAAAAGGAAAAATAACACAACTGAAGATTGGCACAGAGAGCGGTGCAGCTTGATTGCTTTCTTTTCCATCCAATTTAATGTCACACTGCTCTGGTGGAGGAGCAAATGGCCACAATAAATGCCATTATGGTGCGGGGTGGGGATTACAGTCATCACACAGCCTGCTGTGAATGGGGAGTGGGGTGGGGGAATCTACTTCAACAGTAACACTGACCTGAGGAGGGAGGAGAAACTGGAGAACAGTGATGCCAACCCCACTTTTCAAGAGCAACACGACTGCAAATATTCCCTATCCAGGCCAAAGAGACAGGCTGATTACATGCATCACGTAGAAACATTCACTAATAGCATAAAGTTTTTTCAAGCACTATTTCTTGAGGTTTCTCTGCGTTGTAAAGTTTTCCATCAAAGGAATGTACATTTTATAGGACATCTCAGGGCTATTATTTCTCAAATTCCCCCCTTAGCCCACCCTCCCTCCCCAAAATATTCTTCCACATTTTCCCTGGTCATAACTTTCCTCTTTTTCTTACTTCTTTTGAGGCTCCTGGTGCAGCTCCCCACCTCTGAGCAGCCTAAGCTTCCACTTGAATGCCTTGATTTGATTTTCCTTGGAATAAGGGAAGTTGAACAGTAAGACAAATCTTAAGATTAAAGCTCCATCTCTGTTTGTAGATTTTTCTCAAATGTCCATTGATAAAACCACCCTCCTTTACACCCTTCCCCCAAAAGTATTTATTTACACATAGGCAGAAAAAAACCCTCTGAAAAGCTCTGGACTGTCCTTTTAACTTAAAAAATAATAAAGAAAATAAGGGAAAGGCACTATGGAAAAAAATTACAGAATGTGCTCAACCGTACACCTTTAAGAAAAAACAAAAAAGCTGTCAGCACAGCATTAACAGACTTCAGTTGTACGTTGGAGTTTCTCAAAGCAGCTCTGTGACTCAAAAGAAAAAAAAAAAAAAACAAACAAAAAAACCAGAATGAAAAGCCACACAACTCTTCTCCCTTCCCCTGCTTGGAAGCTGCTGAGCTTCAGAAGAAAGTGCCAAAGGAGAAGAGAATAAAAATTAGATTAACACCTCATCTTTCCCAGGCAAGAAGAGCTGAATGTTGAAGGCAAAAGCAGAGACTGATGATTTTTGTTTTTTTTTAAAGGCAGGACTGTGGATTTGGTTCTTCTCTCATGTCCCTTCATGTCAAATGAAGACCGTTTGCAGAGAGAGAAAATACCAGCAGAGTTTCTCCCTTTTCCTTTAACTGCATGGCTAGGACTTTATATGGCATTAAAACTTCATGCACTGATGGACAGAGGAGGAGGGGGAAACAAGAAGAGTGAATAAAAGGGGGTAACCCAGGAGCAGCTGAAGAAATTTGTTATTTTCATTTTTTTTCTCTCTCTTTTTTTTTTCCTAAAGATAAGTTTTGGTGTGTAAGTTGAACTCTTCCCCACCCCCCCCACCCCTGAAGTTCCGTACTGAGTGAAGGAGCATCACCTCACGGTGAAAGGTGACTCAGGTTTTATCGCCGTGTGATTTTAGGTCACTGGCTGCAGTTAGGCTCTGTATGTGTATTTACTGTTTCTCTGGTTTCTTTAAATAATCTCTAATATTTATCTCTAGATGTTCCGGTTCACTGGGGTCACATAGTTGCGTGGAAACATGCCCGTCTGTCCGTGGCAGGCTCCCTTCCACCAGTTGGGGTCAGAATTGTCAAGAACTTGGATAAAGTCTCCACGACGGAAGCCCAGCTCTCCTTCCTCCTGGGGATCAAAATCAAACAGGGCCTGAACGTATGTAGGTTGCTGTAAGGGGAAAGAAAAAGATACACAGTGAGAATCATCCACAGCACTCAAGACATCTGCTCCCTCAGGCAGTAGCTTAACTTACACCGGAGTTTAACCATAAACATTCAGGCTGTTTCATTTCCCTGCAAGCCAGCTTCCAACATCTGTAACAAGATGCTAAAATAGGAAAGCATAGTCTATAGACGACCTTAGAAAAAAGTCAAGTTTCTGTGAAAGAGCCAAAATAAAGATAGCAGATGACTCAGATGTTTTCCTAGTATTTTCCAGTCTTCATGACCTACTGTAAATCTGTACTCTATTGCAATACAATAGTCTTTTTGCTTATTCATCCTGTTTTCACCAACTGACAGCATGAATATTACTAATCTACCTAACACCGTGATACACAAAGTCCCCCCTAAAAACTGGATGTTGGCATTTTCCACACTTTCTTTAAAACCCTCCAATATAAAGAAATTCTATCACAGAGCATTTTGCCTGGTCAGCAAATACTTCCATTCTTATGGAAAAGCTAATGGTTCATTTAAAATGTGTTTGCATTCTTAAAATCATGAGGCTAGGAATGCATCTTGATGCTCGTCATTTTCAGCCAGCTGTTTTCTCATCCTCTGTTTATCACTGACCCAGCAGTTCAGAGCCAGATGTTAATTCAGACAAACTGTGGCAAAGGGTGCCTGTGGCACCTGGACAGCAGTATGAATTCCACACCCCTTGTCTTCAAGCTAGAACTAGAATGCTGCACATGGAAGCAAAAGGATTTATCCAAAATTGACAAAAGATGCAGCTACATGCAACCCAACATTCTCATTGCCCTGGGAAATGGAACAAAACAAAGAGCTAGATACACACACACTGCTCTGCTGGCACTTAGCAGTAGTTTTTGGTTTCTCTTAACACTGGCTAGATCCAAACCAGAAAGCTAGAGATGTTCCATATGCTATTACCTGTAACCACCTTTTCAGGAAAGGCCAGTACCAAAGCTTCACTGGCTACTAAGGGGTACAGTTCTGGCTATGAACCAGTATAAGTAGAACTATCCTTTCTTAGTGTGTCCTAAACCAGGAGTAAACCCATTGTTGATTCACAGGAATCAGATGACCTTCCTGCAACAGTATCCATAAACACTAAGACAAGCCAAGTGTTCAAGTAGCAACAGTAACACTTTGCCAGAACTGAAGGGGAGACTAGGGAGTTAGCAGGTAGGCTTTGCACAAACATCCAGCTTATTTACCAGTATAATTCTGGCTGCAGGATCTAAAGATACACTTCCACAGACAACAAAAATGTCAGTCAGCTTCTTTCCACTGCTATTCATTTACTCTAAGGTGCAATACCACTTCTGACTGTGGTTGCAATAGTCTAAATAGTGCACTCTACGAGAACACTTCTCTTACCTGTGGCACCTGTTCAATGTCCCGGAGAAATATTTGCTGGTTCCTGGAGACAGATGTGGATCTGTGATAATCTACCAGCTCGTTCAAAGAATTGAACTTCACCACCCAGAGAAAATACTTGCCAGCCCCATCTCGAAGCACCTTGAAGTGCTGCACATCATTCCCAAACCTGTGCGGAAAGAATGAAGCACACACAAAAAAAGCTCATTATTAATCACCGAGTACTCCTCTTTTGGGATTGTCAGCACAGAGTTTGGAACAAAAAGGTCCTTCAGGGCACAGTGGAAACTGTCAATGACACTGATAATACAGATACCAATTGGTTGCTGTAAAAAAGATTTCTGAAAGCCACTTATCAATTGTATTTTACAGAAATCGGTGATCAGAGAGAATCCCAATACTGAATTTATTTTGAAAAAAATCCTGCAAGCTTCACATGTGCTTTCCTTATAATAGGACTTCAGTTTAAAACAAGCTTTTCAAACCACTCTGAATTTGCACAAGTTTGAGGTCTTTTCGTAAAGGATGTGTCACAATACTCTATCTTGGATGCAACACAATATTTCAGCTTTTTATTTTACACTACATTGCCACATAGCTGGCATCCAGTACGTGTACTTCTTGATGCACCTATGCAGTCATCTGAGTCACTGAAGACAGTGCACTAGGATACACACCATGGACTTTACAGTACAAATGCAAGGTCACATTAAAGAAGCTGCACCATGGTGCCTTCCACTTCACATTCCCAAATACAAGATTTTGAAGCCAAACAGTACAAGTGCTTCGGTTTAGCTCTTCACACACAGCAATTTCACAACTGACTCAAGCCACTTTAGGTTTGTGCTACTTTGTGCTACTCTTGTTATGGTCCTGTACTTCTCAGAGTCTCAATCCCTCCCTCACACAGCACCAGTGGGTGTGAGTGATAATGCAATACGTAAGCACCAGTCCCATTACAGGTAAACTGCTGGGAAAACACTGCCACAGGGAGGGTAGGATTGTCTCTTTTGGCAGGCAGTTTGGACTTATGCAAAAAGACCGTCTTGCAAAACAAAAGGATCTCTCTGGTCCTTAAAAACAACAACAAAAAACCCCTGCAAAACCCCAAAACGTTCGACAGGTGATGCTGCACTGTAACACAGCAACTTCAACTCTGTGTTAACAATTCTTCCTGACAAATGCTGGCATTCAGTTGAAGCTACTTTTCCAACAATTTTATTCTGAATAAAGAGGAAGTCCGAAGAGGTCCATTGGGATTTTCCAGATGAATGGTACATCGGTATTTTTACTTCAATTAAAACACTGAAAACAGAAGACAACTGTTCCTCACTTGGCATGCACAGCTTCTATACAGTGGCTGAAAAAGTAGACACTATCTTGACTACAAAGCTAACACAAAACAACTCATGAGTACTGCCTCTGCTCTTCCTTCCTCAACCTGAGAGCTTCTCACCATTTCAAATCCTGCAGATCACTGTTTAGGAAAAATACTTTTCTATATTAAACAAACAGGAAAAAAAGACCCCAACTGAGAAATTGCCACCAGATGGCAACACTAAGCTAACAGGCAGGCAGAGCTATGCTATTTTAACTTTTATGTTTCTTAAAAGAATGCACTTTTTGGAATGAAGCTGCCATTCATATCTAGTATTCCAGCTCAGATGATTGTATCCAAGACAGAAATATAAACATCTCTAAAATCAGTGGCTTTAATCCAGTTTGTTGGCATGACTCAGTGCTGCTGTACAGTAGGACAAAAATTTGGTTACAGACCAAAGATGACCAGAAAAAACCAAAAAATACTGTCGAGACAGATCACTGAGAGTCACAGAAAATAGAGCAAACTAGGAATCTTGCATGAATAATCGAAAATAGTATTGTTCGGATCCTAAAGAAAACCTTGCTCATTTCTGGTAGGAAAGGGGAATATTGCAGAAAATAAAATAAAAAAAAGGCAAAATCAACTGCTGGGACAGAATCCCAACCTACGTTAAATTACCTCACATACCCTTTCAAGTTTCTAATACCTCTATTTTACAGTGACTTCAGATGGGCAAGATAGGTAGCACAGTATTATGAGGGCCATGGCTAACTAGCAGGAACTCCTGCTGGTTAACAGCCAGTACTACTAGTATGTTTGTTCAAGGATGAGAACTGTTCCTCCTCACTTCACTGTTATTAGACTGAGTTTCTCTACCAACATGGAATGCACTTGTGAGGGATCGAAAAGGCCTCTGTTTTCACAGCTCCATGTCCCAGTGCTAGACAACACGAATATCCCCAAAGCATGTGCCAAGCAGACATGAAAAACATATTTGGAAGTGTAGTACACAGGGAGAAGATAGAGTGATAACTTCTACTGCAGAAGAGGAATAAAGGAAGATGGGAGAAAACAGGTACACACTGGGCACTTTGTGGCTGTAAGGAGGAGGAATGGGATCCACATACAAAGCAACAGATAGTGCCTGGGACTACATAAGCCAGACAGCAACATGCCACCAGGTCATGTAGCCTACAGGTCAATCCTGTAGGCTCATTACAAACCAGAGAATATATATATATTGTTCGACTAGAGAGGGAATAAATATCACTGGAAGAACAGGAATGCTACAGGGCATCTGGAAGATTATTCCTGCTCCTCAGCATTGACAATCACCTGCCCTTTACTCATGAGTCCAAATGAGCAGTAGATGGCCTAATTACCACACATGATTGCTTCTAGGGATTACTTACTTGACTGAGAGAGAGAAGTCCCCAGGAGCACTCTCACTCTCCCTGATAAGGAAGGCACCATCGTGTCTCTGTTTGCCTAACATCTCTTCAGCCTTCGCTCGGGGAATCTTTCCAAAAAACCACCTGTGTAGTGACGAAAAGAAAACAATAGAGGAAGTTAAGAATTTTAATCCTTTCATGGAAGAGCTAGACATAGATATTCGAACAGAGATGAAATGATTCGTAACAGAAAAAAACTACACTGCACCTCACTGTCACTCCAATACAGGCTACTGAACCATGCAGCTTCTCACAATGTTTCATCCTGGCAATAAAGCAACCATGACTTGATAAGCAGGTGCTTGAAACAGCCCTATTTCAGCCAATTTAGCAAAGCAGAGATGTGGTAAGAGTGAAATCCTCAAATTACAGGATTTATTTTCAGAGGTGGAAAAAAACCTGCTCAGAGTTTAATGCATTATTCACATTGTTTTGCACCCTATTGTATCTGCAGTTTAGCATATAAAACATCACAATGAGAACCTAATGTACACAATCGCTTCGCAGCAAAGTCCTGCTTTGTGAGACTAAGACGACTACCTTGGGAACTGGCTACAACCTTGGACAAAATTAAAACGTCTGCTGTGGTCTGCACTGGTATCTTAGTAAGCAGGCCTCATAACCTAAAGTCGAACAGATTAAATGCCTAGCTCAAGCAAGAAACTCAAGTTCCTTCCTCTACCTCTAAGGAATAAAGTCTTATGCCTCTGCATACAAAGTTTTAATTATCCAAACTGTATGATGCCATCAACTCAGAGACAGCAAAGAAGTCCTGCACTGGTGGCTGGTCACTACTGAACTTCACTATGATGTAGCAGCATTTATTTCACTATTAGTACCCAAAGATAATCAGTGGGGAATAACTACACAGTCTCCTTTATTACTTATGCCCCCTAAGGAGAAGCTACCCATGCCTTAGCCATGATTTGTAGAGCAGACAATATAGAAAATTTAAGTTATTAAGGATTAAGCACAGAAACATCATTATTTTAGTGGGTAGAAATCTTAAAAAAAAAAAAAAAATTAGTATTTGCAAAATGCAAGGGAAACACTGGAAGTTCACTCACAGGTTTCTCTTCAGAAACACCACAGCTGTAGACAGCTGTAGAAACAAGATCCTGTCTATGGATTGACCCATCCTGCACAAATGGAAAGTGCATTTTGTATCAAAACCAATTTCTAGTCTCTTTTACATCAGGTGGTAAGACCCAGCTACTTCAGCAGAGAGAATGAGTAGCTTCATTCAGCAGCTGGTTGTTCCTGCAGCCCAGAGTCCAATCTTTCTGACCCCCATCAGAGCACTGTGGTCAAAGACAGGTATCATATGTCAGAAAGCTAAGGCAGGTGCCAGGAGTGGAGTTACATGCAGACCAAGTGAGAAAAGTTCCCTCAAGGTCTCTCTGCTTCATTGCAGAGGAGTGCTGAGCTGGGCATGCCATTCGATTCTAGGAAAGATGCTGATAACACTTGTTTCAGTAGCCTATTTTTTGGCTTTCTCCTACAGTCAGGACAATCTAGCAGCTTTCACATAGGCAGTCACATGAAATAGCTGCACCATGGAAGCCACATTTGAAATTCTTCACAGCTGCACAGAAGTCAAAGCCACAGGCTGACCACCTCCATGACACCACGGGTGAACCTACCTCAGGCAACCAGATCATCAGCACTGACCAACAGCACCTGGTCACAGGATTCTTACCCATATTTACATTTGCATTTCCAGACTAATCCAAGATTAAAAGCAAACAATGGCTGAGTGGTAGGTCACATGACATGGGAAAAGCAGAACCATCTCCACAACCAAAAAGTACAGCTTTCAGTTTTGAGTAAGAGATCACACAGGATAGAAGCACTTACCACAGCCTATAACCATGCAGATGATTGACCTTAGAGGAGAGCATTTAATAACAAGAGCTCCACTCACAAAGTTTACTTCCTACATTGAATGTTTCGGTGCAGTAAAAAGACAGAAGTTGCAGAATCCTCCCAGAACCAGTCATTCTTAAGAGAAGCTGAAGCTTTCACGAAGTCACAAAGTCACCAAATCTTCCTCTCTAAGAGGAAGCTATCTCTAGAGGTGAAGGAGGATCGATCATTTGATTACCAGGCTCTCCAGCTACTGGCAGCCCTCACTCCTCTCTCACTGGCTGTCTTCAGTATCTGCTCATCATAGCAGGCTACACAAAAACAGATCCCTATATTATATCAAGGTTGATGAGTCCACAGATGTATTTCTACTATATGCAACATAGTAAATAAAACAACTCTAGGACATCCCTCTTGTAAAAGGGGTATTCATTCCATTTAGCTATGCAGGTCTATTATGAAAAGCATTTTGGCACTGAAAATGACACATCTTGTTTACAAACTTGGTTTCCATGATCACCTAGACAATTTTTACTTGCTTGCAAGTCTTCTTGTGTTAGCTTTTCCTTTTGCTTCCAGGGGATAAAAAGTTTCTCCTACAACCATCCAATTTCCAGTGATAAAGAACTTCATGGCATTTAGTACTTTCCTAGTGGTTTAGTATCTGTGCTGCTTCTTGGTACCTGAGGTGGTGGCAGTGACAGCAGAGGGACCATCTACCTGTCTCTCGCTGCACTCTGCTACTTTCAAAAATCGACCAAGAGAAATCATGATGTGAAACGCCTTCAAAATTCAAAGGTGGTGTTCTGTTTCCTGGGCTTTTGGCACAATTGTCAGAAAGATAAGGAAGTCCTGAATTTTGCCTCTGCCAAATGTTACATAAAGCAAACTTTATATTATGATTTTAGATACCTTGCCATAGTTCTTGTTTACAAGGTGTTTTAATTCTGTTTAGTTCTCAAATAATTCTCAGTTACTTGCATGTGACTTGAAAATGAAAGCCTCATCTTAAAAAAAAACCAACCCAACCCAAACCACCTCACACATGTCTGTAAAATGGAAGGAAAGCCTGAAAGAGCTCAACAGAACATCTATAATCCTTCCTGAAGCCTCAGAAGTATACCCCATTTTTCCCCTAAATTTTACTGAATCACTAAAAAGTAGAAGTGTACAATTCGATTAAAGGAAGTAACACTTCCCAAGTAACAATATCAAATTCTTAAAAGTTTTCTGCCAGCTGTTTCTAACCACTTTAGCCATTCAGGGTAAAAGGAGCTTGAATTCTAAATATAAAAAAGATGAAAAGAAAACTCCATAGATGAAGGAAACAGAGTTATTTTGAAGGACTACTGTCTACTTAAGAACACACTTGTAAAGCATCAGAATTATTGTGCACATATGAATCTTCGCTACAGGATAACTGAAAAAAATTAACAAAAAATCACTGCATGTCAAAAAGCACACATGGAGAATTGGGCCAAAGAAACTGACCACAACATTCCCATAGCTTCTCTGCTGAAGGGCTAGGCTTGATAACACTTGTCTCCAACTAGCTTTGTAATGTAGGTGAAACTCATCCAGTCAGCACTGCAAAACCAAATCCAGGCATTACTGCTGATGCTGCACAGCTAGAGGGAGATGCACTGATCTGTACAACACAAAGTTCACATTGCTTTCAGACTCATTTCAATTGGCAGTTTGGCAATTCTTTTGGCTTTACTTAGCACAAGCATTTAGCTTGGCCAATTTCCTCCACATGTTACAATATTGCGAAGTGAGACTTCAGCAATATCTCCAAGAAAAGCTGATTACAAACACAAACGCTTGAGATGCACACACCGTGAGTCTGATCCAGGCCATTTCATAAACAGCAAATTTTCCCCTGCCCCCTTAAAGACAGAAGGGTAGTCCTGCCACTGAACTGCACTGCTGTGCCTTCACAGGAAGCCTCCCTGCCCAGAGTTTCCTGCAGCTCTTCTCTGAATATCATGCCTATGTCTACTTACATCTTTGCTTTGTTAATTGATGTGGCAATTCAGATTAACCCTTCAGAACCCAGGTGACTCAGCTGGTGACCGAGACGCACCACATTTTCCTTACAGCTTCATTTGCTAGTAGTTACAAAGCAAACTGTGAGATTTGCAAAATACAAGCAAGAAGAAATGCTGCTTTTAAGACTAGCTGTGGGGCTGGAGGATTTAAGCCTCAGATCCTGGGACAGGATTTAAAGCAGTTTTCAGTTGCTTGCTTTCCAAATTCTCTTGCAAAACTCTGGTGCACCTTCCCACAACATGATTTGATACTAGTCTGGTAAAAAACCCATTCTCTTTCTCACTCCTGGTCAGCTGCCTGCAATTTGCTTTTTGTATGACCTGTATGACTACTTAAGAGAGCTCTGCATTACAGCTAAGCAAACATTATGCTATAAAAACTTTTGCATAATTTCCCAGGGTTGTTAATGCTCTAGTTAAGACTCCCAGCATTGCTGACACATGAAGCTAACTCCATTCAGCTGCCATCAGCAGTTTAAACATCTTCAGAAAAGGTCAGATTAACTATGCTTAAAAACTACTACCAAATTCACCCACTTGCAGGCTCAGATATTGTTCATTCCCTTTTATTATAAAAAAGCAAAAACCTGACAGCTCTAACCCTCTAAAACAAAACACCAGTGATGATTACAGAACAAACTGATCATCACCATCATCATCACAGAAGACATTACCACAGTATAACTCAAATGCCTGCAAAACTGTTATGAGAAGACGTATGATGATTCAAATCAATGAGAGATAGAAATTGCAATGTACATTTGTGATTCCCAGTGGACTAGCACGATCAGGGTAAACTGGACATGTTACTGCAGCAGACAAGGCTTTAAACAATTTCAGTATTTTCTTTGTGCATCTTTGCTTCGCTTCCCAGTTGGCTGCACTAAAGCAGTATACCTCCTCTCCTTCTTGGGGCACAGTCGCCCAGAAGCTTCCTTCTGCTATTTCAAAAGAGCCCTTAGAAAAATAATTCTTGATTGGGTTTAACTGCAGTATCTTCATGATATAATTACACTCAACAATTAACAAATCTATCATCATTTTTTCTGGGCAACTGAAACAATACAGCTCCTTGTAAAAACCCTGATTACAGATTTTGCTGCTCCTTCCTAAACCTTTTCTCCACTTTGAATCTGTTACCCAGAGCTTGCTGTTTTCTTGTTCATATGTTGAAGGGTCTCAAAGGTTGCCAGAATTTAGCAGAAGACAGCAGGAATACATGAACCGACACAAAGAAAATACCCAGTCACGAAATGCTACTATTTTCATATGCTAGATTCTTTATATCTAAGAGGAAATGTTGAAAGTAGTTACTCAAATACAGTTCTCTGGAGCTGCAAATCAATGCAACTATACTTGCATAACAGTATACACTCTCTGAGGTTGGCCTGTTTTGTGAGGAAGGCATTGGACCAGACGACTGTTAGAGGTCCTGTCCAACCGAAACAATTCTGTGATTCTATACTCAGGATGTGACATAAACATACTAAGAGTTCAGCTTCAAATATCCTTAAACATTTTTCTGGTGACCTGTGAATGCCACAATTTTTACTCTTATCTGCTGTGTTAAATCATCACAAGAATAGAGTCAGGCTTTCTCCTGGGGCAGTGGTGGTGACAACTCTCTACTAAAGAGTTTTCTGCTGATTTATGCCTGACCCCCAAGATCAGTCTGTCTGACCCTACAGCAAAACACCAGAGCAACCACTAGAAAAGCTTCCAAAAATACCCTGCTATATAGCTAACTGTGAAATGAATTACAGTAAACACTACAGCCAGAGATACAACTCAGTAGCCATCCTTTATCTAACGATACATTTTGGTAGACCTGGTAAGGTACACTTTGCAGCGCATACAGCAGAAAACCTTCTTCCTGTCTGAGAGGATGCACAAAAGTAAGATCAAGGGAGCCTATCACCAAAGCTCTACTTACGGATGTGGTTTCATTTCTATGTAGTTCTTGGGAATGAAGCCATCTTTTCCATTGAGTTCTGCCTTGTACCAATTCTGATCGCATTCTTCATTCAAAACCTGAAGGAAGCAAACAAAAAATAAGCCTACCACATTTCAAGACAGAGCAAAACTGATGAAGGTACTAGCTTATTCCTCCCATTCTTGTTTCAAAGACTGCTCTTGTAAGATGAACCTATAAAAAATGTTGCTAGTCATCCTGCTCCACTGCATCTCATGAGCATTCAGAACTGTGGTGAACAAAAAGCTGGATGAGTAATTTAAAATAGCCAAAGGATTTTAGTGCCAAAACCCCATGCTTTAGTAAGAAAGTCACTGTAAGTCCACAGGTACTTTTAACAACATAACTAGACTGAGATTTGTGCCAAAGATTAAGTTGGCTGTCATCACCAAAAAATTCTGTCCAAAATCTGCAAGCCAAGAAATTCTGATTCTTTATCACTTCTAATAATGACTTTTTCCTGAATTCAGCTGACAAACCTGATGCTTTCAGCATAAACGTGATTTCATCCAGCTTTTCTGCATTTGCACTGGTTGCACACTGGATACATTAAAGATTCTAGGCAACATCTATATTAGAGAATTTTACAAAAAACCACCTCCCTTGTGACAACATTAGCACTGGCCCAGCTGCAGATACAACTGGCAGCTTCAGCTGGTTTTGCTGATACAAGTTAAAGCCAGTTTAAATTGGATGGCAGAAACAGTGACTTGCCTGTTGAATATTTTCTTTGTTAATAAAGCAAGTTAAGCATATACAAACAGCAAGTGTAGATGAACAAGGTTTCTTCTTTTTTTTTGTTAAAGTGATACTTTTCTTACTGTAACTTTATTCTAAAATGAATGAAAGATCAGGAGTCACAAGAGAGGAGCCATGTGAATAGGTAGCTTTAAAAAACACAAATTCACACTTCAAAGCGTACTTGCTCTAAAAATTATGGTGCTTTATTTTTCATTGAATTTCTGTCAACTGGTACAGTGAGTTTGAAACTACGTCTCCTCAAAAATATTTTATTTGGTGTTGGAAGTAAACATCGCACAGAACCTGCCCACCCTTTAAAATCAAGCACCACCACAACACTTTTCCCTGAGCACTTTCATTCCTTCTCAGCTTTCTGAGGTTCTTTTTAAACTTTACATCAATGGCCAACAAAAAGCTGGATGTGAGTTTTTAAAAAAAAAAAAAAAAAAAAAGAAAAAAGAAAAAAGATACGCATAAAGCCTCAAGTCACAAAAGTATCACATGATTAGCACTGCCTGAATGCAGGAAGATGAGGAAATGCAAAGAGAAAGACAACATGAATGCAGACCAGAGATCACATACTACATACGCATGGAGTTATGGTGAAGATATCCACCAAAACCCCAAAAGTTTTCATAAGCAATTATTGCCATTTCTGACTTTTTTTTTTATATATATCTCACTATGTTTCTTTTTTGGAAGGGTGATGAAAGGAAATTAAAAAAAAGAAAAGCAGACAAGAATTTGCAAGTGCAGGCCTTAAAATTCTTACAGCTAGTGGAGATGCTTCAGAAAATTAAACCCTAAAGGTCAATGCTTGCTGCCTTTCAAAAATACATGACATGTCAACACCCTAACGTGTCTCATTGCTGACTGCTACATATAAAAACAAAAAACTCAACACCTACTGAAATGAAATCCCATAAAGCAAAAAAAGAACAGAATCTGAATCTCCTCAGTGAATTAGAGTGGGTAATAGTTAACTAGCTGTTCCTTAACTCCCAACCGAAGAGGCTGATGGTAGGATGTACATCCCCCAGATGCCAGCACTTCCACTGGGGAACTAGCACAGCAGCAGGGCCACATCTACAGAACTTCAGGTGAGCAAAGATATGCATCTTTACGGCCATTTCAGGATATTTTCAGTTGAACAGACTTGAATACTTAAAAGATCCTAAGTACTTTTACATGGATAAAAATATTCAAGCTATCTTTTGTGCAGTTACTACTGTGGGCTTCCATTTCTTTATTTACAAGCATTGTTTTAGCATGCATTACAGTGCAGTCATTTAGCAAGGATAATCTGACCACAGGTCATGAGCAGTTCAAGGGTGGCTCTGTTACAGGCTCTGAGGTAAAATCTTGCACATGAAGAGTTGATGCAGATCAGCTGATGTCTGCTGAATTGCCTTTGAGCAAGAAAACGGTGCACTTCTCTCACAACCACTGTACTGACTGCGAGACAGCATTCTGTGCAGAACCCGATTCAACTCCAGAATAGGAAATACAGGTAGATGACACCAGCAGGCAGCTCTAGGATACTGAGCAGGGAAGATGGAGATTAAAAACAGCTATGTAAAAAAGTGAATTGCATAAGACTAGGGAGACAGAGTGCAGGGGTTGAAGCCCAGATCTACAACTCAGTCATGCAAAGATTTTGGCACATAGCTTGAATGACCAGGAAGTTTGGTTGTTATATACCTCAGCCACCATCATTACAATACAATAGAACACAAACATGACACATTTTGATGTGATTTCTAATAAGCCAAATCTTATGCAATAGTGTACATTCCTTTATCAAAGATAGCACAGATCAAACCTTTGATAAGATTGTGTACTACAAATTCATTTCATTAGCATCAGAGAGCAAGTAAGTGATATGGCAGTCTGTTCTTTCTCCAACAATAAAAAAATCAGGTAAATTGTAGCTTCATATGAAGGACATTACCACATATTTGTGCTTTTGGCAGTAGGTATTAAAAATTACCAGAAATTCTAATGCCCAAATGTAAATTATTTTAATGCGTTTTATCTTGCTCTGAAGATATGCTAATAGATTTGGAGAAGCCAAATCACATAGGGCTTGGGGTACTCATTAATGCTTGGCCTGAAGCCAAATACCAGTGAGGGAGCATTGCTGAGGCACGCATTAAGCTTTGTGACCGGAATAAAAAAAAAAAATAGCTGGATAAAAAGCATACTAAGGTTAACTGCCTACACATACGCATCTACAACCTGTTCCGGGGACTTCTGCTGTAATAATGAATCCTCCAAAGCTCCACAGCGGCTTTGTTTGCTCCAAGGACTTATTCCTGCTTCACAGCCAGAATGACATATCTTCATAGCTGGTTGTCCTTTCTAGGATCATATTAACTAGTTGTCACAGCTCCATTCACACCCTGGCAGGCAGCCAAACTCTCCATGCCCTATATTATATACCAGAGAGCTTATACATACACAGTCAGCCTGTAAACACTGTTTTCCCCTCTCCGGGTGTCTCAGTGTGCACTCTTCCAGAGGCAATAGAACATACTGTTTTCTTTACAAAGCTCCATGTTCACGTATCATTTCAGGAGGAGTCACCTCCACAACACAGGTATCTACAAAATAATTTTTCTGACAGCACCTCAGACAGACACCACTGGAGCTGCTCCCAGTGCTTCGTCAAGCAAAACTGACTTGTACTGAAGTACCTTAAATTCCGGACAACTTTGCAGTCATATGCACAAGGCTGGAATTCTGGTGGCTGCTATGAAGTTGTGTAGCTATTATTATGACAACAGCAGAATAGCCATGTAAAATTTCAGCTTTCAAAAAAACTTATGCCACTAACATCCATTAGTGAAATACAACTAAAAAGTAAGTTGGAGACACGCGTAAGAACTCTCTGCACTGGCCTATGCAGCTTAGATGTTTACATCTGACATTGCTCTCTTTTCTTTTAAATTGTAAACTCACTGAAATGAAAGAATTGGCTTTAAGTAATTAAACCATTTTGCTGCAAAACATTTTAAGAAAAGGAATCCAGTAAATCCATCTGTCCCATACCTCTAACTGGCCTCCAAGTGATTTCCAGACAATAATTAAGATTAAAATTTATCATCTGGATACTTAAAAACCAGTGCTAAGGCTCTAAGAAAAATAAAGATTCTTAACTGAACTATGGTAAGATTTTCCCAGACTTATCAAAGCTATAAAATTTAGTCTAAGTACTGCAGGTATCACTGGATTTTGCTTTGAAAATTTCCCAAGTACAAATAAATACAGATAAATTAAGCAACAAAATGAAACTTCAAGATTCCCTGCTCGAAACTGAGACAGCCTTCAGAGTCTGCAAAAAAATCTAAAAGGCACAAACGCTTATTTATCTCCACAACTGTTAAAAACTGCTGCTCTTCGTATAGGTCAAAACATAAAGCATTCCTTTGCATCCAATCCCCTTGTCTGCTATAGATCTAATCAAGCCTATGCCAGTGACTCTTCCTTCCACACTGGGGCATCTGTGCCTGAGAGGAGGAAGAAGGAAGGATATTTTTAGCCACTACGTTTGAACACATACTGCCATGTGATGTCCTCAGTCTGTAGTCAGTCCTGTTTTACAGTAATAGTGGCTCAACTGCTGCCCGTCAATTTCCTAGTTTGATAATAGATCTCTTATCAACAAAAACCCATCTGCTCCCATGGAAATGGAGAAGCACTGCTGAAGAGCCACACAAGGCAGTTCCTAAGCTTTAGCTAGAACAGTTCACACACAGCAAGCATCCCCAGCCATTTTCAATTCCATAGCTAGCGAATATTTCTAAGCACAGCTTTTCCACCCTTGTGAACTGTTGCACACCAGTCTTGATCTTCTCAAATCCAAACAACTTTTAGGAACACACAGGCACTAAACTGGAACATAACAAGCAAATCTGGCATGTCACCTCTCAAGCTGACTCCCATATGCAAATGTGAAACTAAATATAAGGCCTCATATGTACTTATGTGCTAGTGAATTTAGCCAAATTGATCAGAATGCTTGGGTTTTGGAAAGACAAAACCCAAAAACCTTGTTCAGAGAGGGCGCTGAGGTTTTGCTGAGCCTCCTCTTTTCCCTGAACTGTAAGGTTCTGGGGTTCTTGCTGGGCTAACTGAAACAGAAGGTAACACAACTGCTCAAGTACAACCTGTTAGCTGCCAATTTGTTTTTTCTCCTCAACAAAGTTGCACTGACACTGCCACAAAGAAAACAATGCAGTACATTAAAAACACTCTCAAAGTCTCAGGAATCCAAGGAAAGCACTCATGACACTCAAACAAGGGCAGGAATTAAAAT